GAGTACCCATACAACCATTCTGTTTTTCACTTTCAGTACAGTATTCAATCAATTACATGAGATATCCAACACTTTATTATAAAGTAGGCTTTGCTTTAGATGATTTGCTCAACTGTATGCTAAAGTAAGTGTTCTGAGCACACTTAAGGTAGGTTAGGTCAAGCTGTAATGTTTGGTAGGTTAGGTATGTTAAATGCATTTTCAACTTACAATATATTCAAATTAGGATGGAATTTTTGGGACATTGTAAGTTGAAGGGCATCCGTAATTAAAGGGTTGCATGTCTCTATTTCCAGGCAATGAGAGCTCCTTTAAGATATTCATGTCTGTCCATTGCAATCAAGAGGACTCATACTTATGTGATATTTACAGTTTGCAAAGCACTTTCATGTACATTATTTCATGTAGTAAGAGAATGCTCCTGATCCCAGGAAATGGTGCAACCACCTATCTTCTTGACCAAGCCTGAAACCTCCATCTCCCTTATCCTTCAGTCAAACACTAACTTCTGCTGATCCTGACTTGCAAATATGTTTTAACTGCTCACTAGATCATCTGTAATATAAATCCCTGTCCTCTTTTACATGAATATCAAGGCAGCCTCCCATTTGGCTCTGTAGGTTTGAGTACTAGTCTTTAAGCTTCCCTACTCTGTAAACCATTTTCTATGTTGCAATCAGAGCTATTTTTAAAAATGTTGCATTATATATTTATCTGCTTAAAGCCCTTAGTAACTCTCCACTTGCAGCGTAAAGGCCAATCCCTTAACATAGGCCCTTCATGATGAGGTTCCTGCTCACTTTTCCAGTCTCGTTTTTCACCACTTCCTTATCCTCTCATATCCTCTGGATCAACCACACTGAGCTGTGGTTCTCCAAAATGCTCCCACACTAACTGGAGAATTAGTTAGCAACTGGCCTCTCCTGCACGTCCTTCTGCCTGCCTGACTCCTCTAGCTGAGCTGTAACCTCCTCAAAGTAGGCTGCTTTCCTGCCTGGCCAGACCTTTCAAACCAGTGCATAACACTCTATGCCTGCCCTTATCGGAAGCTACTAAAACTGCCTATTGACTTACTAATGTTTTAGTACCCTTGAAGACATAGAAACTGTTTCCGTTTATTGGGGAGGTCACTTAACAGACTCTAAATGAGGCTGAAAAATAAAAAATAATGCTATTAATTTCTGTTCTGCCTACCTTTCCAGCTGTTAGGAGGATCATATTCATTCCCTCTTTCAATAAATATGTAAATTTAGGAACTTTGTGAACAAATAAGACAGTTTTTCAGCCTCATTTAGAGTCTGTTTACATACTGGATATCCATATAGTTTACCACCTAGACTCCTGGGGTTTGTCTTGTTCCCGTTTATTGGGGAAGTCATTTAACTTCTCTGTGCCCTAATGTCGTCATCATTAAAACAAGAAAGTTATAGTACCTACCACATTGGGGATATGGGGATTAAATGAATTAACATACGTAAAGTATTTTAACAGATAGCATACAGAAAATACTCAATAAATGTGTGCTTTTATTTACAGATAATTTAGAGACAATAAAAGAGATTCAACGTCTTAAAAGCCACAGTGCTAGCAAGTGTGATGGCTGTAAGTCTAACTCAAGTCTTAGAAACCACACTGCACTTTTTGCTAGTCCATCAATAAACAGGTTTTAAATTTAAGTGGGTTGTTATTTCTGCTTTTCCTCTTGGTTCTTAGGTTTCATTTCCCTTGAAAATGAGTAGGCTCTCTCTAGAGACTACTTAGTCCACACGCAAATGGTGGCTTTCAAAAGCTTCTTGCCCATGTAAGGCTTTGCAAAATGGGATGACCAAATGAAAAAAACATGGAGTGTCCTTTCCTGTGGCTTTGCAGGTGGATAATCAAAACTCCATTCTCTCCATGGTGGTTCCTGCCACAGTTTTCAGCAATAAAACTGGCCTTACTAGTTTCCAGTATTTTATGTTCCCATGAGGCAATCTGTACCTCAGTATACGAAGGCATTACGTTTGGGATGACTACAACACAGGAACTGAACAGAAACCAACAAACTATTGCCACATCTAGGAAAGTATCTGAAATTGCCTTTTGGGACCCAATGGTGATCTTGCTTTATTGCCTTATTCTGATCTCTCCTTTGTTGCTCAAAGTTAAAGCCACTTTTAATTTTTCTTGTTCACATTTTTACTCTTAATATCTTTTCATTCACTCTCCCCTGACTATAATTTCCTGTTACTTTTCTGAAAAAATTCAGATGAGAAAATTTTAAAAGCGAGTGTTTCCTTTATTACTAGGATTTAATGCAGTAGAATTATGTAAAGTTTTCCACTTTTCATAAAAAATTCACGACAGCTCTGTGCTGGATATGAGGGGCTTGTGAGCAGGGAACATCTGGCAGCCCCTACCAAATGGCCTTCACATCTAGACTCTTAGTCCATGATCACCCTTCTTCTTCCTGGATCTATGGACAGAAAGCAAAAGAAGGAGTGAGAAGCTTGGGGGTTGCTGTTCCTCTGTTTCAATTCATCGTAAAGAATTAATAATCGTGTGAAATAGTTTTAAGAGCATTACTTTAGTTCAGATTCAGATGTTTGTGTGAAACTGGATTTGCTAACATAAAACTAAATTACTAGAAGCTTGATATTATTCAAACTCTACTTTTCAGTGTGTAGTGAAATATAATTCAAAACCTGACAAATATATAGAAGATTTTTTCTGTGATACTGAAATATTTGAAAAACAAAATCTTGTGCTATTTTCATTCACATAAAGATTTGAATACATCTTGTTATCAGTATTTTTGATAGGGTGGTATTACGTTGCCAACCTTGTTTTCATCGGAAAGGCTGTTTTTTATTATGAAATTTTGCTTGTCCTACTTTTTATCTAAGTCCTTATCTTTAAAAAGAGAGAATGATATTCGATAATTTACATATATAATTTTTACTTGCCTAAATTTAAAGTTGGAAAAATTAGGTTCTAAAGTTACACTGGGGGAAATTTTACTGGCCAGTAAAACTGAAAGGACAGTAAACTACCAGTAACAGGGATGCTGGACGCAGAATCATTTAGAACTACACCTCTGTTTCAACTGCCATAGACTGAGTTGGATTGTGATCTTCAAGGTCTCTTCAAGTTTAACATTTCTACCACCTTTTGATTCCAAATAATAAAACACAAGAGTTAATCCGGAATTGCGGTAGAGTTTTCTGGGGAGACTCTGAACGACCTTGAGACTCTTCCTGCCGCTTGGCTTGTGTCTGGAGAACTCTTAACCAGGGAATTAGTTTCGGGGGGATGACAAAATTTCAAAGCTAATCTTTCACCTGTAAAATACTATGTGAATTAAGTTCTAATTACTTTGAGCTCACCACATAACCTATGCTCTCCCACGATGAAGCCTAGAAAGGTGTTTATCTTGGTGAAAGAAAGAATTCCCAATACCTTTGCATTCAAAGACCCCCATTCAAACTTTTGTCAGAAATGCCTTGGGTTCTACAAGATCTACAGCAAAGTGGCTGGCTACCTACCTCTCCTCCAGCCTCGGACACCTCTACTCTGCAGTCATTTGTTTTCTACCTAGTGGCAGAGATGCGACTTTGCAATTTGAAGAACATGGATGGAAAGATTCCAAAAGTTTTTAATATGGTCAGTCTTAGCCACATCATGGGATACAGCATGATACACAGTCATGGGATAGGGGCAAGTTTCTCAATCTCTCAGAGTCCCAGTTTCATGATCTATGGAGTGGGGATAATAATGGCACCTACCTGACAGATTAACAGAGATAACATAAGAACACGAGCTCGGCTCCATGGGAAGTGCTCATTAAATATTATTTCCTTCCACTCTGTTATGTGTGTATGTGTGTGTTTCTCTGGTCTTTCTTATTTAGCTGTAACCTCCCTGAGAGCATGTGCACTTTCTGAGAATGAGATATGCCTTTAACCCATCTGTGATTTTTATACTGTTTTGTTTGTCTTCTATCACCAGAGATTGGCACAATGTGTGGCACAAAGGAGAGAATCAGTAAATATTTGCCAAATGACTGAAAAATGAATTTGGGCCCACATGATGATTGAGATATTTTAGGGCAGGGGTGCTTCTATTAAAAATGTGCTGGCAGAAATGCCTCGAGGAATTTTTTTTTGCTGGTAGCTTCAAAATACCCCCTTTCACCAGACGGTGAAACTTTTTGACTTCCTTTCCAATAGCAGAAGAGAATACAGTGGAATTTTCCAAACTGGAGACTTTAGGGAGCTACTGATACTTTTATGACATATAATATAAAAACAATTGTATCTGTGCCCAGAAACCTTTTACGGCATGAATTCCAGAATCCAGTTTTATTTGGTTTTGGAAATTTAATAAGTGGGTGACACAACCTAGACCTTGTTCTTTAAATAAAAATTAGAGATTTACAATTAATAGCGGCAAAACAAAAATATCAGCTGTGCTTTATAGGGCGGTGGAGTGTGTTGTGTCTCACCAAGGAGCCAGGCAACAAGTGGGCATTGTGTTAAGGTTTCAGAGAAGGGACACAGGCATGTGGCTGAATGACAGCTTATTAAAGTCACCAAGCAAAGGCCACTGAGACAGCATGCATGTAACCAATCACCATTTTTCCTCTTTGCTGGAGCCTCATGGAAACGGCACATGCAGCTGAAATTTCAAGTGTGATGCGTAAAAAGTGTTAAGGTTCTCATGCTGTAAATGACTCAGCAGTTCAGGAAATGAAGCAAAATAATTTTTTTAAGGTATCAGTAACAGATGTAAAGTAAACACTGTGTCTAGATTTTCCAACACCCTTGGAGACCCCAGCTACATATTCTGCATGTTATAGAGCATTAATGTCCTTAAAATGGTCATCATGTCACCCCTGCTTATATTCATTTTCTTCCTTCATCCTTCCCATGGATTAAAGGGGAACTGTTGTTGCTGCCACTGTGACCTGGGTAGAGATGAGGTAAGTGTGAGACTGGAAGCCAGACAGAGCTTGTACTTACTGCTCGCTTGGAAGCGAAGAGTTTCTCGACATCGCCTTTGGTGACAAGTCATAGTCGCTGTCTGATCTGTAGAGAAATGACTCTCTGCGCTGGCTGTGCCCAGGAAAGGTGGTGTGAAGTACCAGCCCAGAGGAAGAGCTGGCCTGGGGATCCAGTGGACTCCGACCTGGGGAAGGGCCATTTTCCACATCAAAGCTTAAAGAGAAAGCAGGAAACTCTGGTCACATGGTAACCATGGAGGAGGACGCATAGTATACCCTGAGAACCAATGTGTGGCAGGTACTATATGCTAAGCATTTTACATAAAACTGTATGTACTATGGAAAGTTTTAATCCTCAGGACAGCTTAGAGTTGCAGTCATTATTATTTTCATGTTATGTATAGGAAACTGAGTCCCACTGAGGTTCAGTTATTTACCCATGCCCACCATTAGCAAATAATGGAGCCAGAATTTGAACCCAGGAGCAAACTCCATGGTCTTTCAGTGACATGAGCAACTTTGACAAATTCAGCATTGGTGCCAGGCATACAACAACTTGGTGATAATAAGCAACTCTAGTGGGACATTCAGCACAGCTCTAGGTGTCAGACACTGAACTATCACATGCGTAAGTCTCCCTATCTGGAAGACTTCTTCCTGTCATGAACAAATATCACAGTCTCATTAAATATACAATACACATGTTTCTAAATGTTTCAGGAACAAAGTGTTATCCTGACAACCTCCACTGGGTGACTAGATGGGAGGCTCAACCTGAGATGTAATATTCATCCGCAAATTTAACCACAGAAAAAGACTTAATTAATCTGCTAACACCAAATTACTCTCCAAGGCTGCAGAGCTTTGTCTCTGGGAGAGGATGCATTCACTGGCTCCCACAGAGGAGTGTCATGAGGTTTCCTATCAGTCTTCATCACTCTAGAAAGGTGCCCTCAAGCCCACAATTATTTGAACAGGCTCTGATCAACGAACACAGAGATGGGAGCAGTAGAGATTTTGTCTCTTGTTTTCTGTATCCCCACGGCTGGTATTTCCCTGGGCACTGTGCCCTTTTCACATTCTCCTTTATCATCACATATGCATTTTTTCCTGCACACACAACCTCTCTTAGCCTCAAATTGACAATAACCCTCTTCCCTAGTATTTCTCCAGAACTCTCACTGCTCCCCAGCTAAAGCTTTGCAGAGAGATGTTGAACAAAAGATATGGGGCTGAGGATGCTCCCTTTTTCAAATTCAAATTAGTGATTTTCCTGTATACTAATTCAGCTGCCATGATTTATGTCTACATTCTTGGTGCTCTCCTTTCACTAGTTCTTACAACCAGCTCTCTTTGGGTGAATTTTGCTTATATTTCTTCACTTTACAAAGCGCCTCCTCCTAACAACCCTGTGAAGTATATAAGATGATCCCACTCTACATTTGAGGTAAATGAGGCTTAGCAAGATGTAAATACCTTGCTCAGAGTCATAGGCTAGTAACTTGTAGAGCAGAATTGGAAGACTCATGTCTTGCGACTAATTTCTTTACAACCTCAGACTTTCCTAATGACAGAACTCCAGGATGGCACAATGGATAACTGAGTGAAATTCCTCTTTAGTCTCTGAATTCAACCAAAGGTAATTTGGTACATAAAGAGTCAGTTAGACTATAAGCAACCTTGGCTGCTCTCTTGAATGAAAACGGGGAGGCAGCAAATTGAAGCTGTAGGTTTCCTTGAAACATGAGGAGAAGAAATGGCAGAAGGCAGGGTTATAATGCTTCCCTGGAGATCACTCAGAGAAGCTGCTTTTAGACAACCCACAAACTCCAGGTGTCTGATAAGAAGCAGAAAGTGATAATGTCTGGGTAAAAGGCCAAGGAAAAGCTACAACGATCCAATGTGTTTGGTCTTTCAAGGTATTGTAGATGAATTTTCTCAGTAGGCTAATGGTCTGGGATGGGGCTGCCTTTCAAAGACTGCAGGTAGACAGGCAGGTGGGCAATCACTCATACTACCAGCCTGCTTGCCAGCCTGCCAGGAGGCAGAGCTATGTTGTTAACCACATACATTGCAACAAGCGAAAATATAATAAAGTGACTTGCAAACTTCCCTCGGGTGAGATCTGTCGTAGCTGTTGAGCAAAATAAAAAGCCCCTTTGTGGATAAGCGCTTTTTTTGTGTGCCACCCAAATCCCATAGAACCAGTAGGTCATGGGCTCTGAACCCTTTTTAAAGGCAAAGTAGGTAGGTTCTTAAAAACTGAAGGAGGAAATACACAAAGCTTAACGGTGGGCATGAGTTTAGAAATTTCATGTATTTATGTTGTTATTCATTGGCATGCATCTGTGCAACCTTTCTGGATATTAAAACCCTAACATACTTTTTAAACTGTTAGCATCCATCCACTGCCCCAGGTCCTCCAGGATCAGCTGGACTTCCTAGTGATCCAGTAACTAAAGGATTGGTGTCTGGAAGCACTGTGCCTGTGTCCATTAATTCGTCAGTGCTCATGCAGTGCCAGTCATTAAATATTATGAATGCCACTGCTGTGTGTATCTGTGCTAAAATCTTAGAGGAGGTGCCAAGTGGGTATGCCCACCAAGCTCTCAGAACTCTTTCCATTGAGGGTTTCCACCAAGGCTCATCCTGCCTTCTATTTTGCTAAAGGCATTCCTAGTGGGCAGAGGGTAAGTCCACAAAGCATTACCCTTAAAATGAGCATCACAGGCATTCTGTCCCTAGTATTAGCATCCAAGAAGTTTACTTCTGCCAGGAAAACTGGGGTTAGAACCTGACTCCAACGCTGTCTCCAAGATGACCCTCTTTGCTTTTGTTTTCTTTCCTTCTTACCCTACTTAAACTCATAGGAGAGCTTGCTGGAATTTAAACGAAGCCAGGGAAGAAGTCTCTGATGCAAAGAAGCAGTCTTAGGGAGACAAATGGCCTTTCATATTCCCTGGGGCACTGCTTCAAAGCAACCAACACAGATGTACAACTTTGGAACAAACATGAATCACCAACCAGACACCAGCCCCAGTCACAGCAAAATTAGCGGGCAGACATCACAATACGTCCCACAGATCCAGGGAATGAGGAGGGGTGTGGGCAAAGGGAAGGCTGAGGACAGGTTTTATAAGCAAAATGAATATACCACACCAACTGAAATACAATTAGGAAGAAAATGGAATCTACAGTAGCAGAAACAAACACATAAATAGGGCCATTATTTGTTTAGGGTAATTTTTGCCTCTGCCTTCATCAGGACACACATTTCATCTTTAGGCTATTTATATTTTAAAAAATCATTATAAAAGAAATATAAGAATATTATATAAAACTTAGACAATAGAGAAAAGAACAGCATCATTACTAGCAGTTTATTTTTTTCTCTTCTGAATATTTTTTTTTTCCTGCAGGTTTGGATCTTGATTTTTTTCACAAGTATTTGTTATGTGCTACAGTTTTCAGAATTAGCATTTTCCATGAGCTGCTTCATTCAGTTGCTGTATCACAGTTTTCTCAAGCCTTTTCTCTACTCTTGCTCCTCATATTTGCAATTCTGAATAACGTTGCAGTTGATACCTTTGAGCTTGTAGCTATTTCAACATTTAAATTAGGTCACACAGAAGTTTCAGATAGATTAAGAGAGGAAGTTACTCACAAGTTTCTGAATATTTGATTGTGACTTATAACTGCCTGGAAGGGGTTGCCCTTATCCAACCTATGGACACAGCATTGAAAGTGGTCTTTTCCCTGGGTCCAAAGAGCCTGCCAAGCCCTGCTCTCTGATCTTCAGGATTCTTTATGCTGCCTGCTCACTTGGATCTGCCTGCTTCTCCTTGCCTCTGCCAATATCCCTGGACTGAATCAATTGCTTATCTGAGACCTAATGTTTTAACAGCCTTCTCTTACTTTGTATCTAGTGTTCTCAGCTCCTCCAGGCAGTGATGGTGCATGATAGGCTGTATGAGAAGCGGTGCTTCTTTGAGCTAGTATCTTCAAAATTCAGTTCATGCCATCTCCCTGAGTACGCTCTCTCTGACACTGCAGTCCAGTTTGATTTTAACATACGCTCCTCCTGTGTGCTCTCCCAGATTCCTTTACCATAGTACTTTATCACAGTACTTGCAATTCTATTTTAATTCTCTTTATTTACTGCTCCCCAATACATGGTTATCTCCAAGCCAGGAGGGACTCAGTATTACTGAGTATTACTCATTCTTGTATCCCAGGCATCTGGGTCAGAGCCTTGTAAACAGTAGGTCTTCAAAAAATGTGGACAGAACCAACTAAAATATACTGTAACTAACTGTGAAATGTTTCTCCAATCCCTCCCCTCTTTCTGCTTCCCTATACCCACCTGAGACCCCACTGCCATGTGTTTCTACTGTTTCCTTTAAATGAATCTACAGAGATGTGACATTAATTTATTTGTTCGACCTTGTGAGACAGTGATCTAAATACAATAAGATGGTTTTTTTTTTTTAAAGTACTGCTGTATTCTCCCTGAGCAAAACAAATCTGCATAGTAATATCACTGGCTTAGCTGTCTGAGATGTCCGCATCTTTACATAAACTCCCAGGAGGAGAAAAGCCTTCTTATACCAGCTTCTGTCTGCCATCTTCTCATCTCTTCGTTTTTCAATATAAGCAGGAACGTTCTTTGCCCCACAGTTATTCTGGTGGTTTCCATTCCTGGGGAATCCTTGCAAAGCCAGCCCGGAGCTGGTGACATGTGTGCCAGCAGATGGCAGCAGACTGCCACACTGTCCTTAGGCTGCAGGCCCCAGCCTCCAAGCCCAGCAGGTGGGGCTGCTGGCAGTGTTGGAGGGAGAAATATGACTGAAGCCTTATTCATAAGCCTGGGAGGAAAAATCAGGGATAAGGAAAAGAGCCACAAGGTGTACCATGACACCTTTGATTAACCTAAGAGAAGCTCTACTTCCAAGAATTCAAGTTAAACCAGTTGGTCGCAGAAATGCCTGCAATTGTCCCCAGGGTGGTTGTTTCCTGATCCCCAATTACTTGCACAAACTTCAATTTCTGTAACAAAGACTCGTGAAGCAACATCCTAGGAATAATTAATTTCTGAACCAAAGGAGATTTTTCTTCTGCAACTTAGTCATTCTCTAGGTGAGCCTCTTTGGCTTATTCTAACAAATAACCCGCTAGAAAGACTGCAAACTCCACAAAAGAGATTGAAATCCACAG